TTTAGCAAGGCTGGCTGCTTCTTAGAACTGATACTCTCTAAGCTCCATTCAAGACAAAATGCTTCCTCCCATGTACGCAGTTAAATTAATTAGGTCATACCATGTAAACAGCAGATAAATCAGTCCTAACATTTGGACTCAGAAGTTCTGGCACCTTCTACAAAAACCCAGTAGGAGGAGCTCTGGCCAATGTGGTTGGAGCGTCATTCAGTACACTAAAAGGTAGTAGGTTCGATGTTTCTCTCTCATATCAGTGTTTCCCCCCCCACAACTTCCTCTCTCTAAAATAAATGTTAAAAAATAAATAGACAGTAGGAGGAGAGAAATATGCGTCCCATTACAGATGTGCGAGGCAGGCTCTTTTTTGTTTTTATTTTCATAACTCAATTCTTTTCCTAGAAGTAGTGTAAATGTTGGCTTCTACATGGCTCTGTGGTTCTGATCAGTGAAACAGGGATCCCCCGAGGACCGACCTGCAGCGGGCGCGGCCCTTCCCGCCCCCTGGCCTTCTCACCCAGCCGTGCAGGGAGAAGACTGTATGCAGGACTGATCACCGTAAAGTCAGATCGCCTAGCTCTTGGAGAAGTCACTCACCTCACTAAGCCTCAGCTTCCTCTTGTGCCGAGTTAGGGTATCACAAGAGTCTCATCTTTAAACAGATCTGGACTTTAAAGTCAGGGCCAAAACCATAATCAATTACCGACAAATGCCCTCCACTGCCGTGTCTTTTTGGAGCACCAAATGAAATAGACGACTGACATTTAGGGACTGCATTGTTTGAAAACACGAATCTTCAAATACCGTAAGTGTAGGGCCGGGATTCAAAGCAACAGGAAGTGGGCAATCTGAGAGACACCCGGGAACTGGGACGCGGTGGGGCGCCCTGGATGTACAGCTCTCCGCTCACTCTCGCCCCGGCATTCACTCCTGGGGAAATGTGTGGCAAAACTGCCTGAAAGCCCTGACTCACGGCCTCCTCTTTTCTCCGCCCCCCCCCCCTTCTTCCTCACCCTCACCCTGCTCCTCATTAGAATCCCAGCCAGTTCACTTCTCCTTGGATGCTGATCAACTCGAACACACACATGAAAGGTTGTTGAAGAATGAGGTGTGCCGCCCACACGTCTCGGAGAGAGCTGCTGCAAGCCCCCGCTGCTGCGCCCCGGGTCCGACGCAGCACGCACCAGGCCGCGCTCCCCCGGCAGCCCCGGCCAGTGTGAGCGCACGGGTGGAAGAGCCAGGCCATTCTTGTCCAGTGAGGGCTCCTCTCCTTTCTGTCCACCTGGCCGCGACTGTTCCAGAACCACACCCCAGTCAGAGGCTCTCACCCAACCTTCCTTCCTTCCCTCCATCCTCATCCTCAGATATGTAGCCTGGCATCGTGGTTTGAGGCTGTCCTAGCCGACTTCACGGGAGATTCTCTTTTATTGCTAATTCTGTCTCATTATCTGCTTCCGAGAGGACCTGAACTGACACAGCACAGAATGAAGGTTCTGAAAATGTTAGCCATTACTGTGATAATAATTACGACTTGACTGAACTAGCAACTCCATCACCAGAAGCACTCTTGGAAGCACCTACTCTCACAGTGACCTCGGCCAGAGTGCTCAGCAGAGCCCTATGCCCTGCTTGACTGCACCCATTGCTCTGCCCCTGCAGCGCCATTCCTAGCAGATCATGCCGCCTTTTCTGATGCTTCTGTGCGGAGAGGATTTCAAAACCCTGGAGGATTCGGGCAAAACATAATATTGAACACTTCAGAATTAGCTGGGAAAATGGGCCTCGGCAGCCCTTCATCTTAACAAGAACAAACATCCTGGTCTTAAGAGCCTTAAAGCAAGCACGGATAAAAGCCACATTCATTAAACAGAGCCCTTCCTGAGGGAGCTCTGTGTCAAGTCATTATAGCCCAGCTGGCATGTATGTCACTGGTGCACGTGAGACACTGAGTGGTCTTGGAGGGAAGGAATGATGGTCAAGGCAGTAAGGGGAAGACAGAGAACACCCATCAGTCTGCAGCCCTAAAACATGTCCATCAGAGCACATGCAACCCTTTTGGTGACAGGTCCCATACATACTGTTGAGAACCCTGTTACGATGACAGCCATAAACTCCATTCCTCTGAGATCTAAGAGGCTGGTTCCAATTCAGTGACCATAGACTTCACAGAAAAGCTATCAACACTATGATAATGGCTGTGATAAAGGTGTTATTGATGTTCTACTCACTGCAGTAAAGAAGCAACTGACAATCAGCAGCAATTAGGTACTTAATAAAACTGCGTTGGAGATGCTGCTGCTGAAAAGACCATCACAGGTGGCACAGGGGACTCAGCAATCAGCCCAGTGAAGCCCATGGCTGTTTTTCTTTTGGAAAAGCTCTTCTTCGGTCAAAATCAAAACAATGGGACTTTTGGGCCCTCTGAAGGAATGGGAATCAACTCTGATCTGAATACTCACATGAAAGCCATGAGCAGGCTGATCACCTCAGTAGACCCTGGCACACTCAGGGATCAAGGACAAGATGGAAGAGAGGGGAGAAGAGGTGAACCCCAGAGATGGCCACAGGCTTCACTCAATTCACAAAGCCAACAGTGACAGGGTCTCAGCACAGTTTTGTAACTGTGATTTGTGTGTTGCTAATGAAATAACCTAAAAAAGAAAGCATCACAACCTCACAGCCACCAACCTTGAGGAGGGGGAACTAATATCTGGTTACTAGGAGAAACAGATGGGGTTGTAATACCTGTGTCTAATACAAACTACTCGATTGTGATTTTCATTCCGGGGAGATATGCCTTCTGTGCTAGAAAAAGCAGCGGCTTACGAATGGGCCAGACCTGGGCCTGAGGCATGGTTCTGAGCCTTCCCTGGCCATGTGGCCTCGGGCAAGTTACTTCTCTCAGAAATTCAGTTTCATCATCTGGAAAACAGGGGTCAGAATAACTACCCAACAGGATTTTGCGAGACAAAATACCATCATGTGTGTGACAAATCTTAGCATCTAGTCCCAACAGATTTATTTAAAATCAAGCACAGTCTATCATATCACATGTGACAGATGCACGGCCCAGAAAGAAAAATTGCTGCCCTGTACTTAGCTCTGGCCCCGAGGAAATGTTATTTTTTAGACTGCAGTTATAAAATCTCACTTTAATATTAATTGGCAGTATCATAAAAAGGCCGTAAGATGGGACTCCCAGAGTAGCTAGCAAATAACTTTATAATAATAAAAACATGCATCTCATCATTAATTTCTTTATTAAATTCTGGACACCATTCTAGGTGTATGACATTGATTACTTCATTTAATCCTCAAAACTACTCTGTGAAGTAGGAAGCACTATTCTCCCATTTTACAGATTAGAATACTGAGGCACAGTGAAGTCGAGTAACTTGCACAAGGTCACACAACCCGCAGGTGCCAAAGGCAAGACTCATACAGACAGCTTGATGTCCAGCCCTTTGCTCTAACAAGAATGCCGAAGACCCTTCCGGAGTGGCTGGCAAAGCTCTACTTCTTGACCTGGGTGGTATTTGCCACATATTTTATTCATGTGGTTTTCTGAGTTAGCTGTATTTTATTAAAAAACATTTTTAAGTAATAATATTAGTAGCTAAAATGTTACCACTTGATGATGATGTGGGCAGAAACTGAGGCTATATGTTGCACATCATGTGTTTTGAACCACAGGCACAGAACGATGGTTCTGTAATACTGTGATAACACTGGTCTCGGCTGTTTTGGACAGTGGCACCGAAGCAAGTGGAAACTGTACTGTGATCTGGGATAGGAGGTGCTGTTGTTCACCAGAGTCCTTGGGGAAAAATGCAGAAATAGTATAAGGACAGTGTTTTTATTTTGGCATTCTGAATAGCCCCACCTGACTCTGTATTTTCCCCCTTTATTTGTTTCTCTTTTCATGTATTTGTCTCTTAATCTCTCTCTCATCATTTCTTTCTTTTTCTCTTCCTTCTCCTCGTTCTCTCATCCCTTTCTCTGCTTAGCCCCGTGCCCAGGCTAGGCTAGTCCCCTTCTCCACGCCTCTCTCTCCTTTCCTTATACAGAACTCGAGAATGTTTCTTGTGTTATTCATTTATTTATTGACTAGTAGGATATATCATTTAGTCTTCATTTATGGTTGAATAGATTATGTACAACCTTGTCTTCACTCCAAAGCCACTCTCCAGAATTAAGTTTCCACTGACACAGGTGCTCCCTGATTGACTTTTATTTTACTAGATTAATGGCTCCCAGTTAAAACAAAGCTTCTGTACTTAATGGAAGCTCAGAGCTGGAAAGGTTACTAGGTCACAGCCTAAGAAGAAATGAAGAATCTGAGCATAAATTGCCCAAGGTCACCTGTTTTCTCCTCACTTACCTCCTGTTTTTCCCTCTCCTGCCGACACACCACAGAGAACTCATGTGCCAGGGCCGTTGCTTGGCCTATGGCCCATGTGGGGCCTGGTCTTGTGATAGTTCCGGGGAGCTATGGAAAGGGCATCTACTCAGAGGCCTCAGCTGCATGTCAGGATGGGCCCTCAGAGGCTAAAACTGGCCAGAAAGATCACCCCCAGACGCAGGACCTCTGGGCCTCATCCCCAGAACTAATTGGTGCATTGAGACACGACTCATAAATCTGACTACCAGGCAGAAAAGTTTATTTTTAAAACTCTCCTTCTCCAAAAGAGACATTTGCATTGTTTGTTCAAAGCTGTATGTGGGGTGCTCCTCAGTGTACAATGTAGTATGTTTCTCCCACCCTCTACCCGCTAATAAGTACTAGGTACTCCAGCCCTTCCCAGACCAGATTCTCAGAATTCTGTGGGGGCCCTGCCTGCCCCTGGACCTTGGAAACCAAGTCGTATCACATGGAGCCTTTATAACAGATCCTAGTCCTCCCTCCCCCACTTCAGGTTATAAGTCTTCCTTGATTCTCTCTGATCATAGCCTGATCAGTACCCCAGACAGTCCCACTATTTCTGGTGGGGAGCAGCACGCACCTGCTGGCTTGCTCTGTAATCGGGCTGGGGTCCCTCATCCTTGACCTCTTCCTCCAGTCCTGAGAATGCTGTTTCTTCTTCCTCCTCTTCACTCTCTTCAGAACAGGAATCAAACGTATCAGCATAATACTCCTCAGCCATAAGTGGGTCTTCTGGGATCCCTGAAACAAAGAATAAACAACAATCATGTCCCCACAGTCATTAAAATTATAATGAGGCTAGGATCCCCTGTGTTTTTCCCGAGATCTATATTTTGTTTGTACTGACAAAGCTTCCATGAAGTGTAGAGCTGAATCTTAGCTTCTGAAAGCATCTGGTAGAAAGTAATAAATATCCAGCATAATGAAACCAGTAAGGGAAGGAGAAGTGACTGTATTTGTAACCAAAATTTTTAAAATAGATTTCTTAATAACTTTTAAAGAGAGAGTAAGGGAGAGGGAGACAGAGACAGAGAAACATAGATGTGAGAGTGAAACATGGATTGGCTGCCTCCTGCACGCCCCCTACTGGCGATCGAGCCTGCAACCCAGGCACGTGCCTTGACCCCTGACTGGGAATTGAACCAGCAACCACGGGATGACACCCAACCAACTGAGCCACACCATCCAGGGCTGTACACACATTTTTAAGATGAAGAAACAAAACCAATAAACAAGAAGAAATGATTTCCATTAACATCTGTAGGCAAGGATCCTTTTTACAATGAGGGTATTTAGGAGCAGGAGCAGGATAAGACGCCTTGGTGGTAGGACCCGATTAAATACCCACGTCAAGTTTTTACAGAGGCAGCTGTAGTGTTACTATGCAGTATTCTTCCTGGGAATTTATTTTTTAAAGAAAATATTAGTAGTGAGACCAGGTGGGTAGGACAAATAGCAATGGCATTTAGGCAAGCTGAGGAAAATGTGATGATTTTTTTCTAACAAACTATGAAAGCTTTTGAGATGAAGTTTGCTCTAGGACCTTACTTACTCATATGTATATAGGGCACTTATTTGAAAACAGAAAGAAAAGAAAAAAAGATCACTCACTAAGCTCAAGCCAAGAAATGGCTACCCATGTTACTTGATGTAATGTTATTACCAACTAAGAATACAGCTGGTGCTTGTAATGGTCTTCAACGAAGGAAGAACAAGAATGGATCACAAGAAAGCATCGTGATATCAACTCCACTTTGCTAATGGGAGCCTAGAAATAGAGAAACACCCTTGTAGACAGAGGAAATTACATAATGACACCCTAGCACATTAAAGCTAGGGCATTTCAGGCTTTGCACCATACTCTGACATAAATAATTCTTCTAAATGATAACACACGGCACTGCTTTCATCCTATCGATGCCGATTTTTGTCTAATGAAAAAAATATGGAAACTGGGGTCAGAGAATCAAGGTTAGAATCTAGCTCTACCAGCTCTTAGGTGGAGCCGGACAAGGAATTTGAACTCACCGAGCTCCAATTTCTCCAGTAACACTGGCATAAAAATACTCTAGTTGGGTAGCTACAAAAATGCAATAATAGGGTATGTATGAAAGCATCTGCATACAGGAAAATTTTACACAAATGTTCATTTAATTTCCACATCTGTAAAAATAGGCGTTTAATCAACGGATTCCACATTCCTTTGAAAGTAAACTACTAGTGGCTATAGAATTCCCTGACAATGAAATGCTTTACAATCTTGGCTATCTACGGTTTCCCACAAAGCATAAGTCGCAGTACTGTGGGATCAAAATTAGTTGGCTCAAAAGACAAAAGTTACATATATTCAAAATGCCTTTGCCAATGTCTTAGGAAGGGGCATGTTTTGAATCTCATAATTTCTCCCAGTAACGCAAACACAGACTGTTTTCCCTTCGCAGCACTGAATTTCATTTAAGCACCAGATGAAAGAGATGGTTTGTATTTGGGGTAACGTTTTACAACATTCTTTATTCTACTCATGCTCACAATGACAAGAAGATCACAGCTAGAGAAGTTTATGAAAATTAAAATCTATCAAAGGGTCACATCAGGTCTCCAGCTTTTACCTTCTAGTAGGGACATACATACGTCCGCTGAATGGAACGGTGGACAAAACCATATGACTTCTTACCTCTCTTCCTCCCCCTCCCCCTTCCTTCCTCTACCACCTGTCCTTGAATGTCTGTGTTACTTTCAGAGTCATCCATTCTCTCTTTTTCTCTCTTCCTCTCTCTCCCTTTCTCTTTCTCTCTCTCTCCCCCCTTCCCCCTCCCACTTCCTCTCCCACCCACTCAATCTGTCTTTTTTGTCAGTTACTCATTCATTTATTCACTCATATTTTCTCACTCTTGCTCCTTGTTTCTCCCTATTCATTCCCCTCCACCACCTTCAGGCAAGAACATCTGCTTTCAAACTTGACTATGATACTGTAAGACATATTTATATTGCTGCCCAATACTCAGAAATGTGCCTATATTTGTGTACTGTATATAAATATTTTTATAGTTAAAACAAAGTTTTGTGTATCAAGATTTACTCATACTATATCTGACACTCTGGTATTTGCATTCTATTCAATTTGTTTGTAAATGCCAGTTGCAACACACTAAACTGATTTCTCACGTCACAATTTGAAAAACACCAATTTATAATGCTGGCTTTGGCATAAAAAAAAGACTCTCATTTAAATCAAATCTCTCCCATCAGCTTCAAAACATTAGGCATTATTTAAACTTTCTGCACTTCAGTTTTCTCATCTGAGAAATGGGGGTGATAGTACCTATTTCACAGAATTGTTGTGAACATTAGAGAGTATAGATGCCCAGTGCTCTGCATGTGGTAGGCACCCAATAAATACTACTCACTGACATTTAACATAAAGCCCTGTATTTGTGCCTGTAACGCTCAACACCAGGAAGCAATGTAAATATTAGACAATCATAAGTATATATTGAGTTTAAAATTTTAAAATATATTTTAAATAGAATTACTTCTCAAAATCCATATAGTACCCATCTCAAATGGCCAATAAGAAAACCCTCCTTGACCTGGCCAGTTTGGCTCAGCGGTTAGAGCATTGGCCTGCGGTCCAGAGAGTCCCGGGTTCAGTTCCCGTTAAGGGCACGTACATCAGTGGCAGTTTGTTCCCGGCCCTGGTGGGGGTCATGTGGGTGGCAGCCACTCGATGTGTCTCTCTCACATTGATGTTTCTCTCTCTTTCTTCCTTCCTCTCCCATCCCCACTCTAAATGCAAAAATGTCCTCCGGTGAGAATTAAAAAAAAAAGAAAAGAAACCCCTCCTTTCTCTGGTCTCCCTTCTGCTGGCTTGGGAGGCCCCTGGGCATTCCACCGCTCTGTCCTCCCATTGTCTTTCCTGCTCACTGGCTCCACCTGGGCCCCTCCAGGCAGCTCAGAGGGAACCTCTATAATAGGGTCACAAACTGTTCTGTCAGGGCTGGATGGTCAACTTTTAGGTGTGCAGGTTATACAATCCCTGTCATCACTACTCAAGTCTGTATCGTCTGAAAGCAGACACAGCCACTACATAGACAAGGCCGGCAGTGGGCCAGACCACACAGCTCTGCAACACACACAGACCTGCCTCCTGCTATCAGTAAGCACCCCCCGCACAGCCTGGCTGCGCACAGTCCTAGTCCCTTCCCCTCTCGCCGAGGGTCCCAGCCCAGGAGGAAAGAAAGGCCAGGCAGAAAGCAACATTCTGCCACCTATGCCTAAGTCAGGAAACAGCCTGAGATGAATTCATCTCCAGTTTTTCTTAAGCACCATTAACTTGGTGCAGCTCAGAAAGCAGTTCATCTTCCAAGGGAATTGTAAAATAAAAAAATAAAAAAAGGAGGTCTACTCAAACTGTGTTCACCAAGCCACATGCTTTTTGTACGTGGGCCTTATGTGAAGCCTTTTAAGGCTAGGGCTCATTTCTCCTGTCACTGAGGGAAAGTGGTCTGTGACAAATAGCTTTAATTTCCGGGCACCCTCGAGTCAGCCTCGGAACAGATGCACCAGAGTGGCCTTCCAGATCCCCACCGCGCTGGGTGGCAGTGACGGGCGTGCTGATGAAGTGACCCCATAACGGCCGCCTGAGCTGGACACAGTGACTGCGCATCCACGCTGGAGAACAGCAGTCACGCTGTTCTGGGAAGAGTGCCCTTCGTTACACCCTTCAATTAAGACCCAAGTAAATCCCTTCCTATAAGACTTAAGTGAGCATGGGGATCCCCTACAGGGCTTGTTAAAACCCAGAGCAGCTGATTCAGTAGGACTGGGGTGAGGCCTGAAAATGTGCATTTCTAACAGTTTCCCAGGAGATGCTAGAGCTGCTGCTCCGGGGGTCCCGCTTTGAAACCACTGTTCTAGGATGTGACAGTTCAAATGAAGGAACCATCACGTACTATAGTGAATCACCGTAATAAGATAAGTAAGACTCTGTAGTATTTCTACATCTTGCAAACTTTGTATGTTAGACAAAAATAGAAATAAACTTTACTTTAGAAGAGATCTAAGTGTGCCAGGAGTTGTCTCAACCACAGTCTCTATGGGGTTACAGAGGACTATTCCCATTTTACTGATGGGGACAAACAAGGCCATTAGTAAGTAGCCCAAAGTTACAACACTTAACAGTTTGTATAAGCACATTCATACTCATTATTCCATTTGATCATTTTGACATTTATTCAAGTTAGACCGGGACAACATTTTTATTTCATTCTTCAGATAATGAAAGTGAGCTCAGAAAGAACCAACCAAAGGTCACATAGCTGCATGCATGGTGGACACGAGACTAGAACGTAAATTACTTGACTTCTGTCTTTTTTTCTACTGAATTAGTGCTATTTTATAATTAGCTAGGAGTTTTCATCTTTGCTAGTAAAACCATGTCATTGATACAAGTTGTGATTGTCTTCCCCGAACTCTGAAAAATGTTGAACATTTCTAAGATACAAAAAGTGAACTTCGCTCATTCCGCAAATGGTCTGCAGGGAGCCGGGACTACGGAAGGCCAGGAGTCCTCACTCAGACTCAGCCCAACTGCCACCACCCTCCACCTCAGACATGCTCAGACGGGAGTGGCTCTCCAAGGGAGGGCCCCAGAAGAGCAGCAGCCCCTGGAATCCTATTACAAATGCATACTCAGGCCTCCCAGACCTACTGAATCAGAAACTGGGGTGAGGACCATTTAT